TATTAGGTAAAATAATAACCATGACACCTATCAAATTATTCAACTTTGACGTACATATATATTTGATTTAGAGAAATATAATATTGCTAAGATTTTGGTATTAGTTTCTGTTTTCTATAGAATTTTCTATAGTTCTTTTTTTTTCTTGAATGTTTATGTGTTTAAATATTTAGTTTTTTTATTGAAAGTCTTATTGATATTTTGTACCACTGTATATATAATTCATGATTCATGTTGATTCACATTTAATTTTGTTAGGAAAATGTAATAATCATGCAAAACTATTCTTTCCTTCTCCATCATGTCTTCCAAGAGTTTTATGTTATATTTTATTCAGTTTTCATTGTTTTAATTGTTAAATCGAATTGTTGTAGATTTTTTAAAGTTGATAATTGATAATGGTTACTTTTTTATACATGTATTGTTAATTGTTAATTTTTTTATTTATTTTTAAAATTTTTAAATCATATTAAAATTTTCTGATTTAATAAATATGTTGATTTGGATCAATCAGATTGAATTTACTTTTTTGTTGGATATAATTTGTTAAATTAACTTTCAATGTTTTAATTATACTTAATAATTTTTGGTTTGATATAAAAGCTGATGTGGACCAATTAAATCAAGTTTATCCGTCCTAATCATACTTAACATTTTTTTCTTTAATGAATATGCTGATGTTGACCAATCAGATCAAGTTTTTTAATCTGATGTGGACGTCTTCAATGCACTATGCCATCAACTTTTATATATTATATGATGACTAGGTGTTTCCCCGCACCTTGTGCGGAGTTCGATTATTTTTTTTTAAAGTATAATATTAGTTTATTTATAGATAAAAAATATATTTTATAATGATTCGGAACCAAACTTAATATATTTGAAAAATACAATTTTCATGAGTATATTGTTTTTCGTGACAAAACAAATTATATTATTTATATTTTATTTTTTAAAAATCTTCTATATTATCTGATAAAAACTTATATGTATGCTTTGTTGTTTTGTTGCATTTATCAAACATAATAAATAATTATCTTCTTTTGATATAAATTGGTAGATTAAAATTAATGAAATTCAAAGTTTGTATTAAAAAAAATATAGCAATCCAAAATGATTAAAACCAAAGGATCCTTGTTTCATATCAACTTAACATTAATTAATATATATAGAGTTTTAAAAAGGTTTAAATGATTTAGGATTTTACTTATGTTCGCATAAATCAATTAGGTTAGTCAAAATATTAGTAAATTAAATAATTAAATTAAAATTAGTTTAATAAAATAATTAGTAGATTAAATCAGTGACATTCCTCAAAGAGTAAGAACGAAATTTAAATCGATTTTATTATGGATAAATATTTAGATGCATGTGTAATGAAATTATTTGTTGGTTTATAAAAATATGTTGATGTCTTATCGTTATAATTTTACCTAAAAGTGATTGCAATTTTTAACAGGACAAATTTGTTTATTTAGAATATGGTTTTAATAAGCACTTGTGATATGTTATATGAACATTGTAATGATAGAAATTGTTGGGACCTATTTTATTGGGCCGAAAGAGAGTTCACCACGTGGATTTAGATTGTATCGAGTGCTGATACACGCCACACTAGCTCGACTGATCCACTCCTGCATACTGTACCGAGGCAGTTGACGGATTTCCCCAAACACGCCAGAATCATAACAAGAGGATCACAAGCATAAATAGGATGCAAACCCTCCCAAGAAGCGGGGGGAGGCAAGAAAGGGAGAGAAGAAAGAGATGAGAATAAAGAGAGAGCTTTGTCTAAGGCAGTTGCCCGGACCAACTAGCAGGATCACAGGCAAACTTATGGTTCTTCCCGAGCGAATGCCTACCAGGTTAAGTTATCCCTGATTCGGAACCTCGCCTTTGTAGCCGCTTCGTTTTCCCTTTTGACGAGTAGAAACCCCCTTTAAAACACCTGAAATCAGATAGGAGCCTCAATCCCCGGACGAGACTTCTCACGACTAGCCCGTAGAAAACTGTCCTCTCGAGTACTTGTTCCCGGTAGGATGTTTACTGACTTGGACGTCGGAGAACCTTCAAGAGAGAAACCTCCTTCCAATCTTCCTGAAGGCTCGCTCGACGTTTGTTTAAGTGCTTACAGGGACCAAACCCGATGTTCACCCCACCACGTCGAGACATGAAGCTTCCACCCCTGAACGACGACTCGTCGCCTTTCCCGCAGAGGACAGAACTCGGAGGCCCAGCTCCAACCCCGACGAATCAGACACCTCCACGTGGCATCCTGAAATTTGCTCCCGAACAGAAACCTATTTGTTCCTATGAAATTGCTCGTAATTTGTTATTGTTTTTTTTTATGTTTTTTAAAAATGATATTTAGGCTACCAACAGTCCAAATATCGGTTGGTAGCATTTAACAGCAATCATGGAACTGATGTGGATGGTAGCGTTTGACAACAATCACGAAAATGCTTTCAACCTGTTTTTTTTTTTGTTTTTTAAAAGATTTTGACGGTTTCAACCATTTTGTACTGCTTTATCTTCCTCAAAATCAAAAGCTCATTCCCACTAGTATTTGCAGTTGCGGGTGATTGCGGCTAGACTATTAAAAATTTAAAAAACTAAAATTAAAAACATACAAAAATTATTTAAAACCAAAATATTTATAATATATTCTTAAAATAAGTTTTAAATATTTTAATTACAAAATATATAAATAAATTTGATACTTTTTCAAGTAATATTAATTATTTTTATGGTTTAAAATTAGTATTTATTAATTATTAATCATAATTTTATATCCATAAGATCTTTAAACCAAACAAATTCAGATAAATTATTTTCTGCCACTAATAATCATATATATATATATATCTAATTTAGATAATTTTACATTCAAAAAATTCTAATTTTCATCTAAACTAAAAAAATTAAAAAAGAAAAATATTATGCATATATTATTTTTATGATTTTATCATTAATTATATTAAATTTATAATTTTATATTTTCTTATAATAATATGTTTTGTTGTTTTTAATTATATAATTTATTTATATTATTATTTTGTTGTGTAATCGCTTTTGAATCCGTTGGTCAGTCAGTTCAAAATATCCGGTAAATACACCTTCTCTCAATCATTATACCAATTGTATAAACTGCTGGTCAACATTGTTATTCGTAACCGTCTGTCTTCCGCAAATTCCTGTACAACCGCTACGTTTAAACTCGATAGGCCTTTAGATGCATAGCAGTATCACGTTTATCCAGCACTATATGACCCCATTTTAATCAAGTTGAATAGAACATCGCAATGGAAGGTGGTCACGAAAAGAAGATGCCATCACATGTAAGTTTTTCAAATAGTAAGTTTCTGTTAATCTTAATATTTAAGTTTAGTGGCAGATCTAGAAATTATTTTTATCAGGGATATAAAAAAAATTATTATTTAAAATATTTAAAATTATATCACATAAAATCCTAGCTAACAAATTCAGTCGAATAAACTTTAGAATCCCTTTTTAAAAAACATGTAAAAGTCATCTAGCCGTTACACTTAAATTGAAACTCTTGTCTTCTGTCTTAAGTCATCATAACGGTCATATTTTCAAAAACCAAATACGACCGTTAACCCCATCAAAATTCTAGCTTTATCGTTTCTCAGTTCTGTTGCGTATCTTCTTTTTATATAAACCCTAAAACCAAGCCGACTAAGTAATCAAGAAACAACAAAACGAAAATCAAAATCAAACTTCATAAAAAACAAAAAACAGAGTTTCTTTTCTCTACTCAAAAACTGTAAAACCCATAATCAGAGAAATGGGAATGTCAAAATCGAAGGGAAACACACACAATATCTTCCTTCTCTGCAACTATATCCTCTTAGGCTCAGCATCAAGCTGCATCTTCCTCACAATCTCCCTCCGTCTCTTCCCATCTCTCTCCGGTCTCTCCCTCATCTTCCTCCACACACTCACCATCGCCACCGCCGTCTCCGGCTGCTCCGTTTTCGCCTCTTCCACCACCTCCACCACAAGCGACGGAGTGTACGGTGCTCACATGGTTTCCACAGTCCTCGCGGCCATATTTCAAGGAGCAGTCTCTGTTCTTATATTCACTAGAACAGGGGATTTCCTAAGGTTTCTTAAATCGTATGTTCTCGAAGAAGATGGAGCAGTGATACTTAAACTCGCTGGAGGTTTGTGCGTATTGATGTTCTGCTTAGAGTGGGTTGTTCTTGTGTTGGCGTTTCTGTTGAAGTACAGTGATTATTTGGATGAGAGTGTTGCAGATGATGATGATAAGTTTCAGAGGCAAGAAGAAGATCTCAAAGATTGGCCCTCTTACCCATTTCAACTCAAGCTTTAATTCCCATTTCTTTTTTCCTTTTCTTGGTACTTTCTACACATTCTTTGGTTGGTTCATATGTTGATTGATGTTTGTGTTTGGTTGATGTGTCGAGAAACCTCTCAACATGATGCATGTTATTTGAGAGTTATGTGATTATGTTGCACTTTAATGGGTGTACAAATAATTTATCAGTGTATTTTTATATGAATTTTTGAAATACATAAAGGTTATCATTCTTGGAAGCACAAAACTCTGAAAAGTCTTAGCAATAAATCAGTTTCCTATGTTTAGGTAGTTTTGACCACAAAATCTATGCGAAAACCTCAATCTGTATCTCAATCTCTATCTGAATGTACTCTCTCAAAAACTCCCACAAACATAAGTTAAAAACAAAAAAGACATTTTGCAACTCGGTGTTGCACCCGACCCGAGGTCGAAATTTAGGTGCTGCATTTGAGGAAGGAATTTTAATTTACTCTTGTGTACAATAATTGTTGATCTAATTTATTGGCTATGAAATGTTTGGGATGATGATATCTTCTACAACGTCCACCCAAATTACCACGTCAGCAAAATCCACAGTCGTATTAACCAATTAAAATTAATACAAAACAAAATTTCCAAAAGAAGCGGAAACAGAAGAAAGAAGAAAAGAGAAAAAATGCTGAATAGAGCAGTTGCTTCTGCAGTTTCTCCAGTCTCCTCTTCTTCTTCTTCCTCGTTGGCTCTCTTACGCAACTCGAAACCTTTCTTCTCAGTCAAAAACCTCTCCGGATTCCGATCTTCCTCCTTCTCCGGCGGCTTCATTCGTAGAATCGGCCATAAGCCTATCCAAATGACGAGTCCCAATTTGACCCCGAGAGCCATGGCAACGCAGCAGCTCGAGAACGCCGATCAGCTCATTGATTCCGTCGAAACTTTTATCTTCGATTGCGATGGTTAGTTTCACTAACAACAGAACGCAATTCGATAATATTAGGGGAATAATATCGTCTGCATATCGAGAAAGAGATGCTAATAATGATGGATTCTCTCGATACATTTGGGTTTGACTTGTATGTTAGATGAATAGTAGAAGAGCGAGACGTTCTATTAGATTTTCTGCAAAATAATTAATAGGGGAGAGTTTGTGAGATGATTGAGAAAGAGATGCTATAATGATGGATTTTCTCGAATATTATAAATTATTGGTGACTTTGATGTGCATTGACTTACACATTCCTATGTTAAGAAGAAGTTTTTTGAAACCAGAAGATCTTGATAATGAGAATTGAGAACAATTTATCTATGCGGAACCATTTGTAATTGTGTGTTTGTAGGAGTAATTTGGAAGGGAGATAAATTGATTGAGGGAGTCCCTGAAACTCTTGATATGCTACGTGCCAAGGTCGGTAAGCAATCTCTTGATAAGAATTGTTTAGATTGAAGTTGTTTTTTTTGCTCCTTTTAACTGATTTACGTTTTAGCTATAGCACTTCTGTGTTAAAATTCGTTTGGAAGTTTCTTTCGTTGCATCTATTGCTTTTCTTTGTATTAACCATAAGTATTCTCCACTTTCCAGGGGAAGAGGTTGGTTTTTGTCACGAACAATTCGACAAAGTCTAGGAAACAATATGGCAAAAAGTTTGAGACTCTTGGTCTGAATGTTAACGAGGTCAGTGGCTCGGTTCACAATGTAGCTCAATATTGGTGCTTTTAAATCTATAATTGTTTTTGATTAATGTATCATTTTTCTTCAGGAGGAGATATTTGCCTCTTCGTTTGCTGCAGCTGCATACTTGCAGTCTATTAATTTCCCAAAAGATAAGAAGGTAAGCCATCTTTCAATCGAACTATTCAGCCAAGACTTAAAAAATAATGTGCAAATTAAATGATGAAAAGAGCATGTCGCTTCTCTTTGCAAGTTCTAATGCATATTTATTAGGTCTATGTGATTGGTGAGGAGGGTATATTGAAAGAGCTCGAGCTTGCTGGTTTTCAATACCTTGGAGGTCCGGTATGTACCCGTTTTTGCGTAGATGCTAACTTGCCGGTTATGGATCCCGAGGATTTTTCTTCCTCTTCTTACGTTAATCCAAAACACTTGTCCTCAAATCAAAGAGCAACATTTTGGAATTTCTTCCATTTCTTCTCTCTTACTTTGTGCAAAACTATCACTATTATGAACAGTTTAATTTTTCAATTACAGGATGATGGTAAAAGGCAGATTGAATTAAAGCCAGGATTTCTAATGGATCATGAACATGATGTATGTTATCCTTCCTATACCCTTGATTTTTTATTTTGTTTCTGTTTCTCCTGCCAACATATAGAAAACATCAAAATCGTTGTTCTTGAGACTGAAATTGAGTAGAGTTTCACTGAAAATGCTTTTCAGGTGGGAGCTGTGGTCGTTGGATTTGATCGTTATTTCAACTACTACAAAATTCAGTATGTCCTCCAAAATTTGTGTTTTTTATTTTCCACTATCCTGGACTGGTATTCTTTGCTGGTTTTGTGGATGAGCAATGAGTTATAAATCTTTCGTGTTAGATTTTATCCGAGTTTGGCGATCTAACAGCATATTTTCAATGGAAGGTATGGAACACTCTGTATCCGCGAAAACCCGGGGTGTCTTTTCATTGCTACAAACCGAGATGCTGTCACACACCTTACTGATGCTCAAGAATGGGCAGGTTAGCTTCTTGCATGCATTTTTGTAATTTTAGCATTGGGATAATAATCTCTCCTCTTAGAGAAAAGGATGTTAACTTAAATGTAGTGGTAAGGTGAATTTGGTGATGTACCACTATATAAAAGTTCTTTCTTTGTCTATGGTTACCATTTTTTCCCTTGCGATTACTCGGTCTCAGGTGGTGGCTCTATGGTTGGTGCTCTTGTTGGATCCACTCAACGTGAGCCTCTTGTTGTTGGAAAACCCTCAACTTTTATGATGGACTATTTAGCAGACAAGTAAGTCTTCTAGATTCTCATCTTCTTTCTTCTGTATTTCACTTCTCTATTTTCTTAATCAAGTCCAAATGATGTTAAACTCCTTTAGAATTTCTGTTTCCCTTATCATAGTCTCCTCTGTAATAATACCCTACAAGTGCATAAACCACAAATATCAAATACTAGAAAAAAATGTGTTTATATATCCAGTGTGAGTATTGATCAGTAAATTAGTATGTTGATAACTAATATTATGCATTGGCATTTTTCTTTTTTTTTAAATGAACAGATTTGGAATCCAAAAGTCACAGATATGCATGGTGGGTGATAGGTTAGACACTGACATTTTGTTCGGGCAGAATGGTGGTTGTAAAACTCTTCTCGTCCTCTCAGGTAACTAATCCATAGTTCATCTATCTACACAAACTCGATTTTAGCCATTCTAAGTTTTGTTTCATTTTGTTTTTGTGGACTTGAAGGTGTTACTTCAATCTCAATGTTGGAAAGTCCTGAGAACAAGATACAACCAGATTTCTACACTAGCAAGATTTCTGATTTTCTTTCCCCTAAAGCAGCTACTGTATAATCAAAGTAAGCTTCGAGTCGGGAATCACTCTGTAGATCTCAAGAATCTGAATTGTTTAACGGGTTTTCAAAATACAGAGTCTATTCATTACGTTATTCTGTGCAACTTTGTATCTAAGCTGGTTCTTGCTTGTTTTGGCAAGCTTCTTTCAATTGCAATGCCTTCCGTGTGCATAGCGACCAACGAGTAATGTTTCTAGGAAGAGTTTACAAAATTGAATACTAAAAAGATGAACCAAGCTATGATCTTTAAGAGTATCACTTCAGTTGTGGTTATGTACATGTACATATGCAAGGCTATGAAATGGTTACACAAAGTCTAAAACAATTACAAGGTAACAGAGTTGACAAAAGGTTATTAGTAGTAAAAAAAAAAAAATGCAGCAGTAATGTTGATAGGTTTATCGTTAATGCTAGTTTATACTTGTTTTTGATACTGATTTGTAAAATATATATTCTAATTTTTGTAGAACATTTACAAATTGCGTATTCTAAACTTCTTAAAAACACATATTCTAAAATGTGTTCTAAAATTCATAGAACACAATAGACTGGATTCTTAGGGTATGGTCGGAAGGATGTGCCTCCATGAGACTGCTCAGCCTGATTTTGCTTGTTACCCTCTATGGGCATCTTTATGGCTTCTTCCGAGGGAGCCTTCCTTTATTCCTTCTCTATTTATACATTTCTCTTTTTTTTTTTTTTTTCTATTGGTTACCAATCACGTTAGCAGGTACAATTTTTTTCTCTTAAATCGATAAAAGCTTGTACCACCAGATCTTTCTTTTACCTCTGACGCTAATCAGATCAAGCGTGAAATTTACAAGGAGGCTAGCAAATAGGTGTATTGTTTAGTGGCTACTTTTGTCAATGTGGAAAGACTCAGAATTGATTTTCGTATGTTACAACACTCTTACTGACTTTGCACATTCAGAGCCACAATCATTGAGTAGGGTCACTTTATTTCTGCCGAGGATATGAATCCTGTCACAATACTCCCTCCTTCAGAAGAATCCTGCCAAGATCAAATTTATTACCCACTGGCCTGTTCCTACCTCACAGAAGCAGCTATGCAGTTTTTTAGGTTTGGCTAATTATTGTTAGAGGTTCATCCAAAGGTATAGTTCAATCGCCAGGCCACTTACTCTGCTGCTGAAGAAAGAGGGCTTTTCCTGGTCCCCTGATGCCAGTGTTGCATTTGACGCCTTAAAAGCTGCATTGGCCCCCTCTCCGGTTCTTGGTCTACCGGATTTGGACAAGCTCTTCGTGGTAGAGACCGATGCATCTAATGTGGGCGTTGAGGCTTTCCTGATACAGGAGAACCACCCCATTTGCTACATCAGCAGATCCCTTGGTCTGCGACATCAAAAACTCTCCGTGTATGAGAAGGAACTGCGTGCACTGGTTCCTGCTGTTCAGACGTGGAATGCCTACCTGTCTCACCTCCCATTTGTGATTAAAACAAACCAGAAAAGTCTCAAATATTTGATGGAGCATAAAGTTACTACTCCTTTCCAGTACATATGGCTTTTCTAAGCTTATGGGGTATAACTTTGAGATTCAATACAAACAGGGGAAGGAAAACTTTGCTGCAGATGCGCTTTCTCAGCTCCTTCAGATCACGTTATTTCAAGCACATGAGTGGTTCTTCGACTCAATTAAGTTGTTGTGGGACACTAATCCCCACTTACAAAAGGTAATCTCTGATCTAAAAGCTGATAAGAACTTACACCATGTTTTCTCTTTCGTGAATAATGAGCTGTATAGGAAAGTGAAACTGGTGGTCCTTAACAGCGCTAAGGTGAAACTGAACATATTGAAATGGTTGCATGACTCTGCAGTCGGGGGTCACTCGGGGCGAGATGCCACGTTGCACATAATCAAATCCCTCTTCTACCTGGCCAAAAATGAATAGAGAGGTACAATACTATGTGCGCAACTGCTTTCTCTGCCAGAAAAACAAGTATGACCTCACTACAAAACCTGGTCTTCTCCAACCTTTACCAATCCCCGATGGTGTGTGGGAATCGATTAGCATGGACTTCATCGAAGGCCTCCCACCTTCCTTGGGTAAGCACTGCATCCTTGTGGTTAGTGATATGCTTAGCAAGAATACACATTGCCTAGCGTTGTCACACCCTTACACTGCTTCAGACACTGCCCAAGTTTAACTTAATAATTTTTTCTGAGTGAGGTATGGAGGGAAATGTTTTGAGTACATAGTGTTGATCTCAAGTACTCCAATGCATATAACCCTCAAATCGACAGGCAAACGGAGGTGACTAATAAAACCGTGGAGACTTATCTGCGTTGCATGACAGCTGAGACTCCAAACACATGGAACAAGTGGCTGCCGCTTGATGAGTGGTGGTCTAATACCACATTCCATTCCGTAATCTGCAGTATGCCATATGAGGTAATGTACGATCAACCCCCTCCATTTCATCTCCCTTATCTTCCCGGTGAGAGTTCTTCTCGGGTTATTAATGGGAGCCTACAAAAGCGGGAGGAGATTATCAACATGCTTAAGTTTCATCTCATACGAGCCCAAAATAGAATAAAACAAGCCGCTGATTCAACATGATCCAACTGTGAGTTTCAGATCGGTGCTTTTCTGTATCTGAAACTACAGCCATACCGCCAGCACTCGTTGAAGCATCACAAGGTCTCTCACAAGCTATCTCCACGGTTTTACGGTCCTTTCCGTGTGCTAGAAAAAGTTGGTCTCGTAGCTTACAAACTTCTTCTCGCACCTTATGCGATCATCCACAACACCTTCCATGTAAGCCAGCTCAAACTATGCCTGAATCCACCATCTACTACACCAGCTCTCCCGAAATTCTGATTGGATCTCGGTACTGTGAAGGAACCTGAGCTGATATTGGAAACTAAGATGGTTAAACACAGGAATGCTGCTGTTATAAAGATTATGGTTTAGTGGAAAGGCGATCCCCTGCAGATGCTACTTGGAAGTTCTACCAAGATTTTGTGGCTCGTCATCCGCAATTCCATCCTTGTGACAGGATTCTTATCCTCCTTGGCAGGATCAATACTAACAACCTCAGCAGAAATAAAGTGACCCAAGTACTCAATGATGGTGGCTCCGAATGTGCATTTGGAAGACTTCAGGTACAACTGCTGTTGGCGAAGTATAGAAAAGACTTCAGTCAAGTAGTTGAGATGCTCTCCCCAACTACGGGTGTAGACCAATATATCATCAAAGAAAACAAGCAAGAACTTCCTCGTTATCCCTTGAAAACATGGTTCATGAGACTCTGAGAAGTACAAGGAGCGTTTGTTGGCATACCGAGGTACTTGTAATGGCCAGAATGTGTCTTGAAAGCTGTTTTATAGACATCATCTGGTGACATACGGAGTTGATGGAACCTAGCATAAAAATCCAACTTAGAAAAGAACTTGGCGCCCCCAGCTCATCAAGTAAGTCTTCTAAGAGAGGGATTGGGTACTTGTCCTTTATAGTTTGCTTATTCAGACCCCTGCAATCGACACAAAGCCTCAATGACTGAAACAGCAGTTTTTGAGATGCTAGATCAAATGTCCTGCTTCTTCTAATCAGTTGTAAAATAGAGATCATGTATCAATCCAATTGTGGGAGATGAGATGCAAACAATGCTGTAAGCTAAGCAAGATTGGGGTAAGATTGGGGTTTGATTATGTGAGAACAAGACTAGCAACCTAATGATGCAATAAAAAAAAAACATAAACTAAATGCAAGTGAACAGAACTAAACAATGAACTTAAAGCAATGACTAAACAGAAATTTAAGCAAGACGTAAGCAAGATAACTTTGAAAGAAATTAATTAAAAACAAGACTCAAGGTTCTAAGCAATTGTGGGAATGTGGTTTTCAAGAGTTACAAGGGGATTTCTTTCTAAGGCACTCAACAAGCATTAACAAGCAAGCAATTCTCAATGTTATATTTCTAGACAAGGTATCTAAAGGGAACCACTTGGCGTCAATAAGCAATTCATATTCAACAAGATTGAAGTGTCAGACCCACTTCTGATGGCGTATCCTTCAACCATGAGCAAAAAGATCGGAACAATTCTAGCCTAAGAGATGCACCAATCAAGCAACTACTCTCTCACCCAAGCAAGAATTCAGATCAACTTATCAATCTTGTGAACCAATAAGGACCTAAGCAGCTATACACCAGTCAAGATTATGGATTTAAGCACAAACTTGCAACACCCTAACAAAGTTAAGCAATGAACAAGAATGAAGCAAAAGCAAGATCTTTTAATGCACACTATCAAACCATCAAGTCAAGAACCTCAAAACCAGCATTATCAAGCCCTAAGCGAATCATCTAGCAAGGTGAACTATCACTTTGGTGTCACTGAACAAAGAAAACATAGACCAAGCTAGACTATCAAGCCAAATAAGCGAACTGTACTTATAGAAGAGATATTTAGACATCAAGTGAACCATATGCATCTATCAAACTATATTCAACCAAAAGGAGCAAGCTTTATCAACATTAATCACTTTGCAAGAGAAGGAGATAACAGAGAACCATCAAGCCTAATCACCCCTTAATCACAACTTAATCACCATTTTCCCTACTTAGAACCCTAAATCTAAGGAAGACTACTCACTAATCATGTTTATTCCCATTGATTTGGAGTTAAACATAACTAAATGAGTTTAAAATGCAAAAGATAATAAATCTAAGTTACCAAGATGCAAGAACATAGATCAGAAGACAAGATTAAACCATAAAAATGTAAACTTTATTAAAGAACAAGATCCTTAGGCAAAATCGTCCTTTTTGGTTTTGAGAGAGTTTTTGAGATTAGATAAAATAAAGCTTTATAAGGATAATGTTTTGTGGCTTCCCTTTTATAGTATGAAGCCAAACGAAGCATAAAAAACCTAAAAAGTTAAGATAAGATTTAGAAAAGTCAAATGGTTAACGCGGATGACCTGCATCGAGGTCGTACGGTCGATGGTCTGCTCGATGTGCGTCCTCGATATGG